CAAGTCTGTTAACTTCTCTAAAACTAGTCGAATCCACCGAGGAAATATTTTACCAAGTAATGAATTTAATTTCTCTATTTGAAGATCAACTTGTAGCGACCTATGCTCAGGTACACAATAATGGCTATGAAACTGTTTATGGCAAGAAAATAGACAAGAAAAGTAACAGTAGCAGTTTTAGAAAATTATCATCTCATGACAAAGTATTGAAGCAAGAATTTTTTTACTCATAAACTGTAAATAGTTGATGAGACTATGATTATCATGTTGTTACTGATGAAAGGCAAAGATTTTGCAGTAAAAAGATTCTTCAAAAATATGATGCAGTGAAGCTGACATTAGATCGTCAAAAGAAAATGATTTAATTGCAACATTATTAAACACAGATGATTCTTCAGTGAAAGGATCAACATTATAATACATTTACGTCCATAGGGAATCTCTTATCATTTTTTTAAATGAGAATAATAAATAATCATGTAGATGTTTTTTTTTATAGTCTTATGATCAACAATGGATAAATAACAATACAGAATGTATTCTATTCATGAAACATTTGATATGTATTTAATTTGACGCTAAAAATAGTGTTCAGTTGAAAATATCAAAAAATCTAGAAAAACTCATATTTTCTTGAAAAGCATTCATCACATGTTAGATAAAGTATGTATTAGAATGATTTCTAGTCATATTCTAATTTCTCAATATTAATTTAACTTTGATTCGACACGAATCTCATCATTTTTTCTCAAACTATTGCTTAGTTAAAAATATCTTTTATGTTCATCATTTATCTTCAAGTATAATATTTTTTCTTCATTAGCTAACCATCTATTCTCATGTTCTATTGAAAGAAACGTAACATCTACCACCAGTGTAACTGATATCAGAATGGTACAACAACATTGCATTTTCGTCTTTAGTTTGACATTCATCACCATAACAGTCATGTTTACTGCAACGATTGATGTTTTATTCTTATTTGTCAGCTATTAGCATAATGAAATGTCATTCTAAGTATTATCAATTTTTAAAAAGTATGTTGGCAAACAGAAAACTTTATTAGACATGTCAATACACGTGTTTCACATGTGTTCATTGGATCTGTATTGTTTTTTTAATTTCATGATCCTTGACATATAATAACAATGAGAGTAGTAAAGTAATCGAAAAAACACATTATATGAACTACGAACCTTTTTAAAATACGACAAAACTTGAGACATGAGTCGTTGTACGAATAATGCCTGTTGTTTGAGAAATAAAACAAGAAGTAGGGATCGAGAGTTCGAAATGAGGATAAGAATATTTGATGAATTATTATTTTCACTCTTCAAAAGAAACAAAGACAAAGAATTCAAAGTGAATACATCCTTTATAGATTGTTTTATTTATTATACATATGACTTTGTTTATAGGAATTTTTGAAAGCAATATAATTTTTGACTGAAAAAACGATACTTAGAGCTAAACAAATGTAAGATGTGTGTACGTAGGATATGAAAGACGACAATACCAATATTGAAATTGATACTCACGAAAATATTAAGAAAAAAGAGCAATACACAACGAAGATAATATGATTTAATGTTATTATTACATATCATAATGAACACCATTGAATATCTCATAAAAATAGATCTTTGTTTTTACTCTCATTGCATAAAAAGAGAAAGTTTCATCAAGCTTTGTATAGAAAAATAAAGTAACTACACGATTACTTTTGAATTTCTTTAAATAAAACTCGAAAAATTTGTAACATATTAATCAGATAAAATTTTAAAGCATCTATTAGAACCTTTAACTTAAATATATTGACCATGATGAAGTATTTTCTTAGCATTAGCCGGGTCAACGACAGTCGATAAACTATATTCTCCTGAAACTGTAGCACCATGTAGAAGGGATTCCATTCATTTCTAATACTAAAGCATCAACAATAGGAAATAATGATGTCAATTCTGGATCAGTAGTGGTACAAATTAATATTTCACCCTATTATAGTTAATTGAGAAATGATTAGACCATCAACGATTCTAATTTTTCCTTCTCATACACATGAAGATACTGGACTAACAAGAAATACACCCTGTATTTTTTTTAAATTTCATATGATTATTATTTTTAATTGGCATATTTGTTGCATCATAATAATTTGTTTATTGTATTGCATACGACATTGCGAAATTAAGTTTTTTTCGACAATTATTTTTTTCATGTTGTTTATAATCAGTGTCAAAAGCTAATGATTCTAGTTTATCAATATTTGAAATAAAATCTTCGTTAACTGATAGATTAGCTTTACGAAGGAGTTCTTTACGAAATTTAACAAATGTTTGAATAAGTCCATAAAGTTTTGGACAGTCTCTTAATGAAAACACAATCTTTAATTGGTTAAAAAAAGAGAAAATTTAATAATTGCCGTTGGATAAATAACGCTATTATTTGATTTTCAATTCCTTTTAATGTTTCATATGGATGTGGATGTGGGTGTTGGAACGGATGAAAAGCATGTCCACACCAACACTCTTGTTCTACGTACGCATTCCCTTCGCTTCGAAAGTAGAGCTGCATGAATTCCGATAACAAATGTCAGAGAATGAATAGCAATAGTGTCATAGATAAACACTTTCTACTTGCACAAAAGCTATGCATAAAACATTCCCTTGTTTCGCACATTCCAGTTGTATTCTTTTCTCGCCTCAATAAATAGAATATTTTTTTCTCCTTACTTACGTAGAACGGAGTGTTACTTTGTCTCAGTCGACTATTTTGTCTCTCATAATTAATTTTCTTTTCTTCGGAAACGTAAATCAATTAAATAGTGATCAATCTCTCGATTCTTCAATGTTGTCGATGATTATTCATTTGAATGACTATTCTAGACATTTATTTTTCTATGAAGCGATTGAGCTGTAGTTATAGATTCCGAACATATCTGACAATGAACCCTTAAGCAAGTTTCAAAATGTATCGTATGATTGCTTGATTTGTTCTTATGTAAATCGGGAATGGCATGCTCGGTCTCATTCTCACTTTTGTTTCACTCAATACTGTATCGATATGGGATGAATCATAATTTCACCTTCGGGCAGACATCTTATATTAGATATGATGTAAATACATCAATGACATTATCGTTTGTCTTTCTTTCTTTCTTTCTCTATATCAAGTGCAAAAAAAAGACAGATAACATACATTTGTAGTCTGTTTCACGTGTTGTTCGTTATCGATGTTTCTCCTCCTGTTCGTGGTACTGCTCGTGATATTTCTTGTTTATTACAAGCAAAAATATTTTACTCTACATGGGCCTATACCAGGACAACCACCACAATTTCTTTTCGGCAATATCCTTCATATAGGCTTTCTACGTGGTGAATCTACAGAAAAAGGTATTCATCAATTTCAAACTAAATATGGCGACATTTTTCAATTCTGGTTCGGACCAATGCGGCTGATTTGTGTATGTGGTATTCAAGATGTAAAACACATATTTACTCATCGACACATATACGATCATGGAAATCTTACTCTGGAAAAATTCTCGCTGGTTTTTCCCAATGCACTCATTTGTAATGGAGGTTCGTATGAAAGGTCAACGTAACGAGAAAAGTTCATTCAGACTTTTGTAAATTTTTATTCATTGATCAAATGAAAATTGAAATGGTTTTCGAAAAAAACAAACGATACTTTGACAAAGATAAAATTCTTGACTATGTACTTCACTGTCTTTTTCTCATTATAGGAGCCAAGTATAAACGTCATGCCGGCATAGTTATTTCGCTTTTTCGTCGAAACAAAGTCTTGCCCAATTTGGACTTAATCATGGATTGTACCGACAAATTAATCGAACTTTGGCGTTCGAAAACCAACGATCTGAATTGTGTTCATCTCGATATAACGAAACAATCTCAAAATCTTCTTCTTTCCATTTTTGGTTTCATTGCATTCGACTATGATCTAGAAACGTTCAACGACGATAATTCTGACAAAGTCAATCAACTTACACAGGCTCTACGCGACTTTTTGGATACACTTCTTGTAGCATTCTGGATGCCAGTGTTCATGGCTAAATTCTATTTGTTAGTCAGTTCTCGACATCGAAAAGCTTTGCCTATTATTCATGACTATTTGAATCGAATTATCGAACAAGAACAGAACAAAATGCCAGAAGAGATTGCCGAACGCAAGAGAAAAAGTCTGATTGCATCATTGATCGGCTCATTACAACAAGACGAACAAACTGAAGCCACAAAGCCAGAAGAAGAAAAGAAAGGTTCGAATACAATTACGATATACATATAAATATATCATTATTTGTGAAGTAATATTTCGTTGATTCTGTGGAATAGTGATGAAAACTGAGCGGCAGGTAGATTTTTCTCAAAAAAACGTTTTAACTGATTTAATATCATATACCGAAATTGTAGAAGTATTAGACTGAAAAAGAATACATTCGTATCAGGATCGCTGGTTTTTATCATTCAAAAAATACTTCGATGTGCGTAAAATTCAATATTCAAAGTATAGTCGAGCTTTTTCGCTAGACGTTTGTCAGGTGACATACGAAAAGTTTCATCATTTATCTTGTGCTTTTAATTAAAAGAATCCCTATTCAACTTGGTGTATAAAAATGAATAGACAACTCATATCCACTATTTGGAAACGAAACGATACTGTAAAAGTCTTGTACTTGATCTCTTTAAAAAAAAATAAGAATTGAGTAGCATCTGTTTTGAAATGAATACATTTAAACATCTAGAATATTTATAATGACTATATATTTTCGAACAAACTTCACATTAGATTTCGCTCTTGAATTAGTCATGAATGCTTTGTTCTATCTGATACTGATCAATAGGATATTCATTATTTTTTTTCAAGAGTAAGATTTTTATTGTTTAGGATTATCCCGAACCGAGGTGATAGATGAGATGCTTCTTTTCCTGGTGGCAGGTTATGAGAGTACATCAACGGCACTTACTTGGTTTATTCATCACATGAGTAAACATCCTCGAGTGCAAGCAAAAATTAAAGCTGAATTGGGTGAAAATAAAGACAACCATTTATCCATTGAACAGCTTGATTCTCTTGTTTACTTGGATTCTGTTCTTGACGAAGTTTTTCGATTTGTTCCACCTACTAATGGTGCTGCACGTACATTAACTAGCGACGATCAACTTCCAGAAAGTAGAATTCAACTACATAGAGGTGATCAAGTATTTATTCCGTTCTATAATTTGACTCGGGATAAACGATATTGGAAAATCGATCCTGAATTATTCTATCCGGAACGATTTGAGGGCGAAGACAAATCACATGACCCGTACGCATTGATTCCGTTTGGAGGTGGTCATCGACAATGTATCGGACAAGATCTGGCTCGATTGGAGTTGAAAGCGATTGCAGCCAGACTCATGCAACAAGTGACATTTGGTGACGGTGGATCCGAAGTTAATGCTGGTGGGCACAAGCAACGATTTACAATCGTACCCAAACATATTGGGGTCACTATTAAATTTGACTGATATCGAACTACATATGTATAACAAATTTAACTGTTTAGAACAATTTTTGATGCACGATTGTGAATCCTAGACATGAATATCAAAAGAATCACATCTTAAAATTTGAGGAGTACGGTTGAGACACAAAACCAAGGAAATCAAATCTGTAGATCTTAAATCTTGCTTTTCAGCAATCAAAAATTCGACGATGATCAATAGAATAGAAAACTACTTGAATATAGAAAATAAAAATGCAGAATTTAATTGCCAATGTGCATCGTAATCTTTATTAAGATTTTTTCTTGAGGGTTCTACGCTTAGAAAGAACAGAAACAACAAAAATAAAAAAAAGTTCCTAGAAACCGAAATGATAAAAATAGAAAGAGGAACATGAGTACTATGATAATATAACAGAATGAATCGGAAGAATCGAGATTGAAGAGATAGATGCTGCCATAGGATAAATTTCGAAGAAGACATCCAATGCTTTTGTTTTTTACGAACCATCGGTTCCTTTTGACGAAGACCCTATCAATGGACGCATGTGTTCCGACATGCGCTGATCAATGCAATCTTCATCGATACGAAAACAAATTGAACTATTTCCACTTCGGTCGACATACGTTTTGTGGATAGTAAATGTTGGCAGGTTACTAAGCAAGTGATATGGAACTGTGTTGAAGAATATAGACATATTTCGATGCTTTCTGTTGGAAATTTAAAGACAGAATCTATTCGAGAGAAATATTGATCGGCAGCACGAAGTGTGTACTGAATCTGATGTAGATTCTACTCGAATCAACGAGATTTTACATTTTTGTACATTGTTCGGTATCTCTCGATGTCTAAAATTATATTACCATCAAAATTTTTGTAATGCAATAATATTAATGATTTTTATAGTTGGATCAAATGATTAAAAATAATTAGTAGTATAACGTTAATTTGAAAATCTTTTAATATTCATTCGTTTCACAGTACGATGCCGATGCTCGTATAAAAACAATTTATAGTGATTGAATCTCACTGAGAATTGTATTCGATTGAAGATCATTTCTTCACACTATTGACTGCGATGTTCAATACGAGTCAATTGTCACTTTGGTTCAGAAACACTTCGTACAAATAAATTTTTTTGCCATATGTTCATTAGGGTTCTACAATTTCAGCTGATGATCGAATTCAAATTAATCTCAAAATGTCTTTGTTTTCTTAGCACAATGGATAGACTCACTTGAGAGGAAATATCAACGAACACATCGATTCGATTTGATCGTTTAATGATGAAAATCATTCGATTTTTGGACAAATAGTAATTTTAAAAACCAACTACAAATATAAGTCATTATGAAACAGATTAAATTCAACACGGAAAAGAATTTCATCGAATAGGACCACACAATCAAAGAATATTTTGTTTCGATCAGCCAAAACAACCAACAATGGAAAGATTTAATCCTCACACTGTTTTCTTCATTTACAACAAAAATCTCAAAGAATAATGAATTATTTTCAATTCAATTGTTGTTCAATCATCCAGATCGGGCAGAATATTTCGAATTGAAGAAAGAAAACTCATCATCGATGCAAATTGTTTTTGACTCTACAACACTTCTTTAGTTTTCAGATGATCTATCGATGAATGTCAAGATTTCTTGAATTGATTTATATGAATATTAGTTTCTATTGGATCGACCGTAACAGACAGATGAAATAAAAAATTTTATCTTTATTATCTGCCATACACGACATATACAATTCATCTATTTCAACTACTACAAATCGACAAACGGCAGTCGTCGTTTTCTGAACGAAGTTTGAATTTCCTTCGTGATCAAATCAAATCGCACCATTTGACACAATTCCTGCCATTACCAGGCAAACATCTTTCCCGTCTGCTGACAATTTTCACATCGATATGAATACAAACTGGGATTCTACCAAGAGTCCATAAAATAATTGGAAAATAGTCTAAAATGGTTCGAAATTCTGGATACTGAGTAGCAGTTCGACTTTCATCAGAGACGTCTGGTAGAGAAATTCAATGAACTCTTTGATTTCAATTCATGTTAGGAGTTTTGAGAATCGTCAAATGCTTAGTAAACGATTACATCTCAAGCATTCAGCAGCAGAATTTGTTTCCAGAAGCATAGAAACAAGCGAAACAGAGATTACTTAATTCAGGGTGTAGGTATCGGCTGTAAATATGGACATAAATAGTTTTATCCTCTTCATCTGATAAACCGACACCCACAGCCATACCCACATCCTCATTTTTATTAAACTGAATGTTTTTTATTGATGCGGATTTATATTACAGAAGTAAGCGCAAATGTAATGTATCATGTTTATTTTTTTTTCTATTTGATTTCCTTTTTTCTTCCTTTTCTTCTTGTTCTTTTTCTCTTCGTTTCTTCTACTCTTGCATCTGCACTGCTACGTAACGGTGCATTTCTCTCTTTTACTCTTTTGTTTACTCCCTTGATATCCCTTCAAGCATAAGTCAGTATTGAGCATATTAATACTGGTGGCATATCGTGCAACACTTGTCTTTACTGATGTAGCTTATGACTTTAATATATTCATTTCTTTCTTCAATCATGTAAACACTTCTGAATGTTACATCCACTATCATAATAAAAAACATCACGATTAACTTTTCAAAAAAGCTGAAAAAAAGTAAATTTTATAATAAGGACGTTTTTGCTTGCGCTTCATTTTGTCAACTCAAGAGGCAAGTTTTTTCTTCTTCGTTTGCTGCCGTGATACATTCTGCTGATTCTGTGTGCAGATGTAGTTTAGTTGGTTTATCAACAGTTATTTCTTTCTTATCTTTTCTATTAGTCATTTGTTGTCATTCTGTGCTGAATACAACGTCATTATTTAATCGTATTTTTTGATACGACGAACCAAGGAGTATAATAGTCAGAAAACGACATCATTTGAAACAAAAACAATTTTGCAATGTCTTCGTAGCGTTTTATTAATTGATCTCCTCGTTGTTTATCATTCTATGCTTATTTTTACAGAGTAATCACTAATTTGCACGATGCGTGCTTATATTATCTTCCAACTCATTTTATGTTCAATTAGTTGAATATTTTAACATGCTTCAATTGCAATCTGTTCCTAATGATGCAAATGTATTTAAGGTGGACCAAACGACGACTGCTACAAGCACTTTCTCTGATCGAGAGCAGCAACTTAGCGTCACACAAAAAGATCGATTAAACAAAGTCGTGATTCGATTTTCGTCACCGGCAACTCTCTTTCAGAGTATTTTCACGATTCCTTCTTTCGTTATCGAGCTGTACTATGGTATAAAGTATGTAAATCAATGTTCCATTCAACCGCTAATCAACATCTTTTTGATTGTTCATGGCTGTTCGAGTTTGGCGGACGGAATCATGCTTTTAATAGGTTTTATTGTTGCCAACTATATTAAAAGATTGTCCAGTCCTTCATCATACGCTCGATGTTTGCTAGCTTGCAGTCTGATCGGACAGCTTGTTCTATTGTTCTTCTCCGTTGCATGGTTAATAGTTGGTCAAATCTGGGTATTTTGAGCTCTTTCAAATGGATTTCAATCCACAAATCTCACTCAATCCTCAACTTACTGTCATCCGACTGTATTTTGGACTGGATTCGCTATCATTATAGTCACATATGCTATTTGGCTAATTCTTATTTTGGTGTCCGTCGGAGGAATAATTACTAGACGTCTTAAAATCAAGCAACAAACAGCTCCAACAACGGATGAATAAAGTGTGAGAAAGTGTAGATGTGAAATAAATATAATACTTCAACGTACACTAATTTACCAACTTTTATCGATATACTGGCAATCGATTGAGTCGTATATTGAACAATGTTTTATAGTCAGTTTATGTAGTTTATCAAGTTATTATTATGAAATCGAAAGGTATTGATCATCTTTTGAAATCGATCAATACGATAATCTATAAAAAAAAAAGAAGATTATTTATTGTGGTGTGTAAAAAAGCAGTACATGGGACATTTTACAAAACTACTTCGATCAAAGTAGAACAATAAATAAAATGAGTAATTCCATTCAGGTCTTAAATTAAAGCTATCCAGTTTGAACTACGCAAAGTTTTGACTTTACAGACAAGTCTTGAAACTCTTCAATAATATCTAAATGTCTGCTAATTAAATAAATATGTTTCGCAAAGACTTGCTTATACATAGATTTATACGTCAATTTTTCATCATTTATTTCTTCGAAAAATATGAACGGCGTATAGAAGATCGAAGAGAAAACATAATGTCAACATGCTGACACAAATTAGATTGGCTGAATGACGATTGTCATCATATAGAGAGGATGGGTAGGTAGGTAGGTAGGTGGAGAGTGTGAGTGGGGATGAGTATGTGAACAAAAGATCCTTATCAACATCACCATCCATAATCTAGAACAGAAATTGTTATCGTAGCCCATTGAGAATTATGTCCTGGATTTATCAAAGATAAGCAGTGGCGCAGTATCATCGTTTTATTTCTACGTTTGTTTGTCCAATGAATTACTACTTTCACATAAGTGTTTCATATGAAAGACAGTCTTTCAGAATTCTATCACTTTTGATAAATGAAACATCAAATGACAACGACTGTTTGTCTGATTTGAAGACATTGGAAATCCAAGAACATGGGACATTTGAAAAAAAGATAGATATAGGTCTGAGTGGATGCAGGTCTTTAAGTGTGAAAATGGGTGCGGTTGTGAGCTTGGTATGCCATCTCTTCTTAATCAACTACAGCCACACCCTGTTCTATATCCCATCAAAAGTAAAATTAATGTATAATACACTATTTTTTCGTTTCAGTATGCTTTATTTGTATATGATATGCTAATGGAATAAGACAAAGACTATGGAATTATCCGTGCTGAGTAAAATTGATTGTTTTAATTAGTTCTAAATTTTGGATGAATTCAGATATTTTTCTCAACAAACTCTTCGAATTGAACGCGTGTATTCATTTTGGGGACATAATATTGATAA